ACCTCTGGTGCAAATTACTGACCTCTGTCATCATTTTAAGTGGGGGAACTTGCACAATCGGTGGCTGACTAAATACTTTTTTGCCCCACTGTACGTATAGTCAGCTTACCTGAAGGCACGGAGGGCCCAGATCCAGTTAAGTTCCTTGAAAAGTGGATCCCGGAGTACCTCCAGATGGACACGAAGGCAGGGATGCTGAAACTTGACCGAGCACACCGATCCTCAGCACCGAAGCCCGGCATTGATCAACGTCCCAGGCCACTTATAATGAAGTTTCACAACTATGCAGATAAACAACGCGTGATGGAGGCGGCTCGGCGGCTCAGATCCCACCAATCTAACAAGGACAGCCCCGCATGTAAGGAATCTAAGATTTCCTTCTTTAATGATTATTCGGCTGAGGTCGTTCGAAAATGGAAAGCTTTCGATGATGTAAAGGTGCGGCTGAGGAAGATGAATGTGGACTATGCATTACTATACCCAGTTACCTTGAGAATAATGGTGAACGGGACTCATAGGAGATTTAACACCCCGAAGGAGGCCGTTTCGCTGCTTCATTCACTGGAACAGAGGCAGGAAGACACTACTCCTCAGTAACTTGTCTATCAGTAGGTGACTTAAATAATATGGCAAGTAATCAGTTGCATTTGTGTACATGGAATGTAAGAGTGGTCCATAATCCTATTAAAAGGAGAAAAATACTCACCTTTCTGAAAAAAGAACACATTGATATTGCACTTTTGCAAGAAACACATTTATATGATGTAGAACACCTTAAATTACAGCAAGGTGGAATTGGACAGGTATTTTTCTCCTCATTTACCTCAAGAAGTAGAGGGGTGCAATCCTTGTGAGGAAAAGCCTCCCTTTTTCAAATACAGAGTGTGTCAAGGACAGGCATGGAAGGTATGTTATAGTCAAGGAAATATTATTGGGTATGGTTGTTTCTATATTGAATGTTTACTACCCTCCTGCTCATTCGTCTGATTTTATGACCACAGTATTTACAGACTACCTCAGACTGTAAGGGAACCTAATATCTCTCTTATTTTGAAGAAGGGGAAGTGTGCAGAGTCTTGTTCCTCTTTTAGACCGATAGCTCTTCTAAATGTGGACCAGAAGATACTTTCTAAAATATTAGCTACTCGACTCGAAACTCTCCTGCCTCTAATTATTAAAGAAGATCAAACAGGCTTTATAAAAGGCCGTAATTCCCGTAACAATGTCAGGCGCCTTCTCAGTCTAATTCAGGCTGCTCAGCAAAGGAACATGGGCGGTTTGGTGCTTTCTCTGGATGCAAGACATCAGTACCGGCTTTACTTAACATTATTGATACATTTAGTCAATTTTCTGGTTATAAAGTAAATTTGACTAAGTCGGAGGCTGTGCCAACTGGGAGCCCTAATTTAGTGCCAACTGGACTGTTTTCTTTCCCCTTTCAAGAGGTCCCCCACAGGTTTTGTATACTTAGGGATATTTATAACTCCAAAATTTAAACAAATGTATAAAGCAAATTTTGCCCCTCTGTTCGAGAAGGTAAAGCAGGATTTGGAGAGATGGAATTCCCTACCCGTTTCCTGGCTAGGACGTATACCAATGGTTAAGATGAATATTTTGCCTCGACTGTTATATCCTGTTCAAATTATTCCAGTTATAATTTCAAATAGGGTGATGAAGGATCTGAATGGCTGGCTAAGCTCTTTTATATGGAGCAAACGCAGACCAAAACTTAAGATGGCTACACTACAGCTCCCAGGTTTAGTAGGGGGTTTAGATTTACCAAATATTAGAACAGGCATGGGCAATTCCAGGCCCCGAGGGCCGGTGTCCTGCAGGTTTTAGATCTCACCTTGGGTCAACACACCTGAATCACGTGATTAGTTCGTTACCAGGCCTCTGGAGAACTTCAGGACATGTTGAGGACCTAATTTAGCCATTGAAATCAGCTGTGTTGGTTCAAGGACACATCTAAAACCTGCAGGGACACCGGCCCTCGAGGCCTGGAGTTGCCCACACCTGTATTAGAACATATCAATTGAATACTCACATGTGCTATATTCATGACTGGGTCACAAATAATTCACACTCTATCTGGTTGGGGATTGAAACCTCTCTTTCAAAGTATCCATTAAGGGACTAACTGTTCTTTAAGAACTTTAAAGATATTAGATCGGCTGTGATAATCTAGCAGTGTTGGGGAGTAACGGAATACATGTACCGCCGTTACGTATTTAAAATACAAAATATGAGTAACTGTATTCCGTTACAGTTACCGTTTA